AAGAGGCATTTGGGATTCAATCACTGGGAAGCCAGGCAAGATTCTGGTGGCTCCTCTCTTGGTCCTGCAGAACAGCGATGAGACCCCAGGACAGAGAGCTGGGAGTACTTCCTGATGGGAACTCTCACTTAAAAATGATGGGAATAGACAGTATATTAGGACTTTATGTTTTTGCTTAATCTATTTCAGTTATGTCTTCTCCTCCTTTGAGGAAGAAGATTGGAAGCAGGCATCAGAGTCTTCTTGGAAAGCCAATGTCATCCATCATGAGGGAGCACCTGAGTGCTAACAATAGGGCAGAGCTCCCCTAAAAGAGCTTTACTGAGCATTCCCTATGCACTTGTGGGCATACCTTATTTAATCCATGCCTAACTGTCTATGGGGTAGGAAATGGACAAGAAAATTGAGGCATATGCCTAGTTACTGACACAGCAAGAACTCAGACCTGGGTAGTCTAGATGCAGAGCTCACACCCTTGACCCCCAGCAACACTGCTTCCCCCATTTCAGTGAGCTTACCCAGTAATTAGAGAGATGACACAAAGACACATAAAACAAGTAGTGCATATAAATGCCATTGTGTGATTATGCACATTAAGTACACAGAAAGATGATGTGGATTAGTTTTGGGGCCATAGAGTCTCCAACATGACCATATAACTCAGCCCTTGTAACATGACATCAGTCACAGCCAGTGCGTAATGAATGGGAAGGGCTGTGTGCCAAGAAAACTTTATTTACAAATACAGATGGCAAGCTGGATTTAGTCTGTAAGCTATAGTTTACTGACTCCTTATGTAGAGATACATGCTATAGATTTCATTAAAAAGATCAATTTAATCTGGAGCAGTTGGAGGGAGCTTTAGAATTGCTGAGTTCAGCCCGGAAGGAAGATTTGAGACAGATTTACAAGACCCTACATGACCTGGCTCCGCACCCCTGGCCTCTCCTCGTATCCCTTTCCTCTTGCTGGGTAGTCTCCGGTCACACAGGCATTTTCATTCCCAGGCTTTAATTGCACACCAATCTCATTCTTATTCTGGAGACTCCACACTGGCTGATCCTTTTGCCTGGGAGCTCTTCCTAGCTCTCCTCCAGGCTGGCTCCTTTGGGCAACAGATCTCCTCTGGAATATTACCGCTTTCCTAGTGGCTTCTCCAAGGAACAGGCTAAAGTAGTCCCCCTCCAGCCACGTTATTACATTAACCCATCTTATTTTCCTAATTGCATTTATGATTCCTGAAATTATCTTGTTCACTTATGTGTGTGCTTGATTATCATCTATCTCTTCCTGAACTGCTTCTAGAATGTATGCTCCACAGCATGAGATCAATGTTTGTAACTGTTCACTGCTGTATATTCCCAGCACCCAGACCATGACTGGAAAAGAAACAAGCAAAAATTACTTACTGATGTGACAGAAGAGGGAGAAAGGCAAAGAGAGAGACAGGCAAGGAGATTGAGAAAAATGCAAGCATGCCCCACTAGGTCATGTTTCATTTTCTCCTGTTCTGTAACTGAATAGACTATGGCTATGAATAGAATGACCCATCATTCAGTGCCCATACACTACTTCAATTAAGAACACATCCTCGTCCTGGAATTAGAGGATGATAGCACTTGGTTATCGTCATTCTTTGGTCAGAAGCAAGTCTTCTGTATTTCTGAACTGTGACAAGTGGTCTAAGTTATAGACTGGCTCTTCCTGAAATAGAAAAATGCACACAAGTCCTCATTTTGTTTGATCAAAAATAAAGCTCTCTATTGGAGTTTAATGCTTAAACATATGCATTAAAAAGCAAATAATCCTTTTTCTCTAACTCATAACTATTGTTACATCTAACCTTTATTATATTGATTTTATTATTGTTTCTTTAACATTTGTTGGGTCCAACCACCTCCAAGGTTGGTACAGACATGCAGGACATCTGGCTGGTCTGTCATTAACAAGTGTCTATTTGCTCCAGCTTCCCTTCCTTACTAAGACTTCTATTCCCTTAAACTGCCAGGACCGGTAATACTGAAGGCTTTCTCAAACAGCTGTAAGGTTGTTTCTTTGGATTTCCCTAAATTTTTTCTTTCTGTGCAACTGAGGCAGAAAGACACATCAACTTTTGGCTAGATCCCAGTGATAGCTGTGCCCCATGATTCTCCTCTCTTCCCATTCAAAAGGGAGTAACATTGGGGGTATAGCTCAGTGGCAGAGCATTTGACTGCAAAAGGGAGTAACATTTCACACTCGGGCCCCTTACAAATTGGCATGCCTTCTTTGAAAATTATACACCTGGTCACTGTCTCCCCTTTTGCTTTAGAGTTTAAAAGAGTCAGAATTAAAATTCTGGCTCAGTTGTAGCAACTTCAGCGACATTATTTTTCTTCTCCAAGATCTTAATTTTCTGTTTCTTTGCATTTTTTCCTAGAACTGATTTCTGTATTATTTTATAGGTAATCTTGTTGTAGGCTACCTTTAGGTGTATGAATAATGCATTAATTTTTAAATCCCATTCCATACAGCTTCTTAGCTGCTATCATTTGAAAACTATTTCATTGAGAGGTATACAGATTAAATATTTCCCAGTTGGTTCCCTTAGCAACAGTTGCAACCCGTTTCTAGTGCAAGCTCAAGTTTCTACCATAAACTAACTTTGGGAAAAACATCTAAACAGAAATTTGCCATGTTTTGTTTCATGATTGACATGACCTGATATAAGTTTGTCCTTAGTCCCTGACATATTCCAGAGACTAATGCTTATTTATGAACTGTGCATCGGTACCGAGAAATGGCCAAGTGCTGTATGCATCATCTATGACCCTCAGGTGTACCAACGTAATTTATAAAATATAATTGCTAAGCCAATAATGAGGTTCTGAACATGATCATATCTTTGCAGTGAGTCACCTTCCAGTTGAAGGAAAACAAGACTGTTCTAAACAGCTATAATTTCACTAAGAAATCTTCCTTGTTGCTATAGTGATTTTGATGCTTTTTAGCTAAAAAAGTAAAAACTCTACATTGCTATTACCATGATCAACAAATAGCAAATGGATCAGATGCAATGGATTACAAAGGTGACAGGGGACTACAGTTGTTTGGTTCCATAGGTGCCAAAGATCATAGCCCAGAAAGAGAGACCGCATCACATAGGGGTCAAGAGTAAGGCCCCAGGAGCTGCCAGGTTGGAACTCTGCCCCTTCGTAGCTGAGACTTATGTATCCATACATGGGGCTTGATCTCACGACCCTGAGATCACGACCTGAGCCAAAATCAAGCATCGGATGCTTAACCGATGCTGAGCCACCCAGGCACCCCTCTCTTGTGTTTTAGTGGGACATCTATTCTTACTTCCTAGAACCTATAACATTTAGAAACCTGTGTCTAATATGTGTAGGTGTCATTGTGGACAACTTTATGAACCCTTCAGAGTTAAAATTCATATATTATTAATCATAAAATTTAGGTTAAGTAAATTCTAATCTTTGGAGTCAAACCAAAACGCTTTGAATGCCAGTGCCGTTATGTGTTCTTTTATTAGTTGTGTGTTCTTTGGCACATCCCTTAAGTTCTCTGAGTTCTTGTTTCTCATCTGAGAAATACAAAGAAAAATTATGCTGAGTTGTTACGTTGATAAAAAAAGATACTGTAAGCAAATCCCTTAGCATAGTTAAATGTTAATAACAAAAGAGTATATTATTTGATGGATAATCAATAAGTAGTTAGCATCAAAATATTAAATACCTGTTTACCTTCTCAATGAAACTTGGCCAGTTCCCAGGAGCCCCTCATGGCTACTCCTTCCCCATCACGATTACTGGTAACTCCTACTTCTAGTCTCTCTTCGGTGCATGTTCCATTTATGGCACCCTATCTTAAACTTGCTGATGGGTTGATCTGAAACTGTTCCCAAATGTGTTTATGCTCTGTCTTCTCATGCTGTTAAAGCATGTTAAGGGCAAAAACCAGCCTCCTTTGTTTTCTGGTTTCTTTTCATTAAGCCCTATGCAGTATTCTATGCACCATGGATTGTTTGTTGCTTCTTAATGGATAAAAAGAGTGGTCATTATGCATTTCTTTTACTCAATGGAGGAGTAATGAGATCCTAGGTTGAGTCCATGTTGAAGTGGAAAATCTAAGTGGAACTGAAGAGAAAGTCATAAAGAAGCCCTCTGTAGCATAGTGTAGTGCTCTGCTGAATTCAAAGGAAATGACTATAGAAAAAAAAGGAGCAGTGTACTAAGAACATTATCTTATATGGTACCCCCAGGTGGGGACTTAGAATAGGATCCAGCAAAGCAAGAGGAAAAGAACAATTCAGATAAGTAGCTCTACCAGGTAAGTAGAGAAACTCTTCAGGGGTTGTGGGGGCGGGGGGGGGTGTATTCAGAGGCCAAGGAAAATTTAAATTAAGAAAAGGCCACTAGCTTTCATGAGATCATTGGAAACCTTTAAAGACTGCTTTAAGCAGATCTATGGAGGCTGAATTCAAATTAAGAGGGGTTCAGAAAGACTAGGTTATTGGGAAGTCAATGTAGCTGGTTTAGGAAGAAGAGAGATTCGATACAAGACAGTAGAGATGGGAGGTGTGAGGAAGGTGGAGATAAAACTGAAAGATTCTTAACTTTTAAATGACAATTGAAAACAAATAATTGAAAAGTTCAAATAAAACTGTTCTCCTTTCCAATGGCATTCTTATTGGAATTATTTCTTGGAATTCTTCTTATTCTTATTAGCATGAGAAATATGAGAAGTAAATCAAAGCCAATGGTTTTAATTTTTCCTAAGACACAGGATGTTTTAAAGATTATGACATGGATTTGCATGGATTAAAATATTTTCAAACCAATTATTACAGTAAAACACCATTATTGAGAAATGAAAGTCTGAAGTTTTAGATAATTTATCTATATTACCCACATTCAGGGTCATAACAAAAAAAGGAAAAGAAAGGAAAGCAAAGTGTAGAATTTTATTAAAAATGAATTATCTGTTTTCTCTGTGAATAGGTTCCTCAGGATGACTGGACAGGGTACACCCCTCGAGGTAAAGACGACGAAATTCCGTGCCGAAGAATGCGGAGTGGCAGCTACATCAAGGCCATGGGAGATGAAGACAGTGGTGACTCCGACACGAGTCCCAAGCCTTCTCCCAAAGTGGCTGCCCGAAGAGAAAGCTATCTCAAGGCTACACAGCCATCCCTTACAGAACTCACCACACTCAAGTAAGTGTTTCCAATGCTCTACATCTGGTAGTCCAGCTCCTTGTTTTAGCACCTAGAAGCAGATGGTGTGACTCCTAGAGTAACGAAGGCAGAGTCCACCCTATAGATGCAGCAGTGCAATGCACTGAATGGTCTACTGATTTTGACCTGGTGTCTGACTTGTGTATCCAGTGCCTTCAAAGACACGGGCATCCAGGTGTGTTCTGCAGAAATCATAAACTGAACCCCAAAGCCCAAGAAGAAGTTTGAAACAATCCAGAATGGCTTCTGAAATGAATTAAGGCTCCTGGTCAATGAGAAGGTCTATGTCTCTCAACTCTTGGATGTTTTCTTAACCACTAAATCTGCAGGTCAACTCTTCCTTATAAGACCCTTGAATTTTTCAGATAACTGAGTAATATAATAGAGCAGATGATCTTGGAGAGGCTTATAGAAAGTGGCTAGGCTTAAAATTGGGTCATATGTGAAGGTTCTTGATAAAGGTTTTTAATTTGGACACTAAATACATATAATTTATAAGACCTTAAAAATGGTTTTGGGGTGCTCCTGACTGGCTCAGTCAGTGGAGCATGTGACTCTTAATCTTAAGGTTATAAATTTGAGCCTCACATTGGGTGTGGAGATTACTTAAAAATAAAATATTTTTAAAAAGCGATTTTGGGTTTTGAAAAATATGATTATAGGGCGCCCGGGTGGCTCAGTTGGTTAAGCGACTGCCTTTGGCTCAGGTCATGATCCTGGAGTCCCGGGATCGAGTCCCACATCGGGCTCCCTGCTCAGCAGGGAGTCTGCTTCTCCCTCTGACCCTCCCCCCTCTCATGCGCTCTCTCTCTCACACTCTCTCTCTCAAATAAATAAATAAAATCTTAAAAAATATATATATATGATTATAAGTAGTCCTTACCTCCATTTGTGCTATTTGTAAATAGAGAACAGCACTACAAAAGAAACTACGAAATTGATTATTTTAAACAAGACCTGATTAAATTTTTAATATTACTTATGGAGAGTAAATCAGAACCTTGGAATATATCAGGGCTTGGATCATCATTTGAGAAATATGGGTATTCGTATTTTTAAGTGCCTTTTCCCATATTTTGAGGAAATACATACTACTATTCATGTATTCATATTATGCCACAAAATAAAATATTAAAAGACAAAATAAAATAGAAAAAGGCCAAAGCTCTCAGGCTAAGGAAAACAAACTAAATTATTAACAGAGAACACTGAAAAACAGTGGATTATTTTATGATGGAAACATTTAAATAGCAAAATGCACTGTATCTTAAATAAGTGGACAGAGGGAGTCCCCTCACAAATTTTTTTTCAAGGAATCATGTGGGCCCTCTCCAGATCATTTCAATAGAAAGTTAATACCAATGGCATTAGTAAATTAACCCAACAAAGGAGCTCTTCTTTCTTTCCTTTGGCTTCCAGTTGCCCTTCCTCTTTGCCTTGATTACTGCAGGTATTGGTTTTCTAGGGCTGCATACCAAAGTCCCACAAACTGAGTAGCTTGAAACAACACACTCCTGTAATGTCACAGTTCTGGAAGCTAGAAGTCTGACATCCAGGTATGAGCTGGGCCACGCTCCTTGAGAAACTTGTTGAGGACAATCCTTCCTGCCTCTTCCCAGCTTCCGGTTGTGGCTGGCAATCCTTGGCATTCTTTGGCTTCCAGCTGCTGCACTTCAGTCTCTGCCTTTGTCATCACATGGTGTTCTCCCTTCTGGGTCTTCCCACAGCTGTCTTATGACACCACTCATATTGGATTAGAACACCCCCAAATGACCTCATCTTAACTTAATGAAATCAGCAAACCCCCGTTTTCCAAGTAAGGTCATGTTCACAGGTACTGGGAGTTAGGACTTTGATCTATCTATGTGGGGAATGTAAGTCAACCCATAACAGTGCTACACAAGGTCAAAGTGGATCAAGGATATGAAAAATAGAAATAGGTTTTTGTTGTACTTTGGCACACTTCACAGAGGCTCAGAAAATTAAATATATATGCATTCTGAAAAAAAATTAAAGAAACAACTGGATTTGTAATAAAGGCAGTCTGCCAAGGTGGTTTAAAATGAGGGTGGCCAAGGGTAACTTCTGGCAAATATCTTCTATGGACTTTAAAATATCTCTCCACTAGAGACAATAATAAGCAGACACAGCCATGGTGTTAATTAACATCCTCCAGAGGAAGCAAAAGAGGGAATGCTTTGGGCAAGAAAGTCACTTAGACCTTCAAGAACTCAGTTTCCTCAACAAGCAGTGGGATTCCATAACCTCCAGAGTCCCTTCTTCCACTTTCATATCCTGTTAGTTGATCTATCAGGATGCATTTGTCACATTGGCTGAATGACACGTTAGGTCTCGGGTAATGAGAAACAGTGATTGCCACTACTCACAGTGATACCCAGGTATGAGGAGAACAGAAAGGAGCGGAGCACAAGAAAGCTGAGGGGAGTGCTCTAAGGAGGCTGAGGACAGGGGTAGGTGCAGAAATCACCTCTAACAATTATGCCTTGGGCTAGTCTCCTCACAGCTTCAGGGCTGTGGGGGATCTGCTCTGAAGTCATTAGAACTCTTTCTTTTTCATTTTGCTTCCTACATAGTATCATCTTCCATTCAAGCCCCGGGCCCTATTTTTACAACCATCATATATTTCTTTGACTGCTTCAAGGTTTTAAGAGCAGCAGTTTTTAAGAGTTTTAAGAAAAAGACAAACACGGGTAGTGGCTAAGCTATTGGTGGAGAAGGTCAGCTATTTCAGACACTGAAAACAGTCACTGAGCTGAGTTGAGTTAGTGACTATTTTCTTCCTCCAAACCTACAGAAATTCAAAATGGCAACCACTTTATTGGGGGATTCCTAATAAATTGAGAAACTTCTTTATTTACTCAAGAAGGAATTTCACCAACCCTTCTCTATTCTTTAGCAAGCAAGACAGCATCTGACCATCATTCAAATATGCCCTTATTCTCTTTCCCACCGTCCCATTCCCCAGGCTTATTTCCCATAGATCTGTTTATCTCCATTCATTCCTCCTTGACCTGGTTTAGGGATTCCATTCCTCACTACAGTCTACGTATTACGCTTCCATCATACTCAACTACAGATGAGCCTAGTGAGTTCTAGTTTAATGGTATTTAAAGAGGCACACAAGAAGACAAGGGAAATATACTATGGAGGCAAAAAATTCAAACATGACATGACTTATAATCACTGCTGTCTTTTATTCCTTAATGATGTTTTGACTCAAGACCATTATTTCTCTAGAAGTTTGAAGTATTCAGTCCCTCATGAGAAAAAAATAAAGATCCCCATATCCTGGAATTCTAGTTCCCCAAAAAAGAAAACTATATTTTTGTTCTTACTTCTTTGACATTTAAGTCAATTTTTTTTTTCCTCCTTCCTCCTCAGCAATTCACAGCTTTAGGGATGAATCATAGCCATGAACTAAGATAACTAAAATTAGTCAAGTGAGATTGGGGCAACATTTTGTTTGAGGTTTTCAACTCCTATCTTCTGTCAGAAATGTTGGAGAGAAAGTACTCCTGTACTTTCTTACATTGTTTTTCTCTTTTCTATTTTTAAAAGGCATCTTGAGGGTTTATTTACGTCACCTACTCAATGTTAGTTACTGTGTCCTAAGGTCAGTTGAATATTCCAGAGTCCTGAGAAGGCTTCAGACAGTGAACTCCATCTTTGGGCCACAAAATTCCTGTAGCTATTCACTGAGAACCATTATATCTTTCATTCCCTTGTTTCCCTCCATAGCAGGTAACATATCCCTTCACCTCACCACTAGCTTTGCTTTCTTCCTTTGGTATTAGCTAACAATGAACTTGAATTATCACCCAAGAATATTAGTATTTTCAAATAATAACTTCTTGATGCTTAATAGTAAATTCTCAGGCAAGTTGAAGAGAGGTTTAGGGGCCAGAATTCCCTTGTCGCCACAGCTTGGCTCTGGTGAATTTAAGTCTTAGTTGGATTTGTTATGATTTGCTATTTATTCTAGCATTGAGACTACTACCTGCAACCCTGATTAGTTAAAACTATGTCCAAAGCCCATCTTGGACTTTTCCCTCCCAATATTCTGTAGAAAGAACTTTTTAAAAAGTGAGCTGGCATTTAAATTCAACTATCCATTAATCCTAGGCAAATAACACTAAAATTTCTTCATACTTCTTTATCCCTTCATCCAAACACTAAGAAAAATTTTCTCCTGGAGGAAATAGGCTCTAACATTATAGACTTTGAAAGGCCTCTGAAATTGGCAAGGAGGGCTCCAGGCTTCTGAGCAGGTTTGGCTTTGGGGGTGACAAGTTAGATAGAGGTCCTAGCAATTTTGATAAACTATCAAACAAAAGGTTTCAAGAAGGTTCATATTCAGTCCTAAATGTCTTGAAGGTAGATAGTTTTCCATTTTCAGGATGGCTAATCCTCTTAATCTTCATTCTTTTCCTGATCCTGAACCCTTTTTTTTAAAAAATATATTGTGAAATACTAAATAGCTGTGTGACTTTGGCAACTGGTTTTATGTCTCTCAGCCCTAGCCCCCAACACACACCCAAATTAAATGAGAGGCTTAGGCTCTTAGCATGGATGGTACCATTAAGATAACTCCCATCACAACTCCCCCACCCCACCCCAACTTCCAGGCCTGTGGCAGACCAACATCAACCAAACCCAGCATTAACGGGTCCCAGCATGCTTCCCACTGAACACAGACCCGGTTTCAGAACTCTTCTCAACACGATTCTCCAGCCCCCACTTCCCATTGACTGGTGATGCCACGGGGTCCTGTCTGTCATCTACACGGTCTCTGAGAGAACTTTCAGCACTACGGTATATAGTTGTAAGGATGAGGCCCAGAAGATCTGGGAGCTCAAAGTTTAAAGACAAAAGGAGCAGTATTGGTAAATAAAATAATTTGAGAAGAGATAGATGGGGTGTTCTCCTACAACTTTAATTCTGGAAATTTAAATGAAATC